CCAGCTTATCTCGTGCACAGTGCGAGATCGAACCCCAAGCTCATGACATACGGCGCGAAATCCTGACGCGTAACTTGAAACAAAAATGTTGATGACAAAATTTGTGACACGGCCAAAAGAATCGTTCTGTTACGATAAAAACTGAGCAAGTTACAGTGCTCTGAACAGCGAGAAAGCAGTATAAAAATCACAGTGCATATTTTTACAGCTTATTTTATGTACGACGCGCGAATAAACCACAAGCTTATGACGTTCGGTGCAGAATCCGGATGAGCAACCTGAAACAAAATCGTTGGCGACGAAATTTGTGACATTGTGGCGAAAGAATAACCCCGATATGATAAAAATCGAGAGTTATGATTTTTCGAATGGCGAGAAACAGTGGACTTATTTTGTTGTCTTGAAAATTTCAGCTTATTTTCATGCACACTTTAGGAAGCAAGCCACAAACCAAAGCCTTTGAAGCACAATCGAAACTCGGGACCTGAAGCCAAGTTGTAATTAACAAAAATTTTGATCTCACGCTTCAATAATCATACCAATGGGATAAAAATCGAGAGAGTTACAATTTTTACAATATCAAAAAACAGTCCGGTAGAAAACCATTTTGGGGTGTAATTCTCTTTGGTAATTCGCACTTTCAGAAGTCTTCTGCAAAGAGTTAACTTCATACCCAAACATATGAATCGAAGATAAAATAAATATGGATTTTTCACTTAAAGAGAAGTTCAACACACTATTTCAATATGGGCGAAATTTATGAACTTTTGAACATCCAAAAAATAGTAGTTCAGCACACTATTTCATGGTATTTTCATTGTATATCTTCAAAGTACTCACTCATTCAGAGATCTTTCTCAATGAATCGGCTTCCGAGCCGAATATGAAAGTTGAAGGAGATAACAAGACGATTTAAATGCTCCAAGAAACACTCAAATATGATCTTCTAGTCAAAAGTTGTGAATTTTTAAGCATCCGAAAACCAATGAACCAGCAAATCCACTGTATAACGCATTTTAAAAAGTTTGCTCTTTTGAATATCTTCTTCACAAAATTAGTCTTTGATCTGAACAGATGAATTAGAGAAGATCTCGAGATGATTCTAACGACCATAGAAACATTCCCAAACCATTTTTTGGTCTCAAGTTATGAATTTCTGAGTTTGAAACGCACAATACTAAATTTTTGCCTGCACTGTCTCAAATTGATTGAAACACTTGACTTTTCTGCATAATTCAGAGCGTGTTGGAACGCATGAGAGCTTGATATGATGATGACTTGATTAATCCTTGATTGGATAGATTGGAAGGTGTGCGAAATGCATAAAAAATACGGAAAACCCTGAGTTTTGCTTCACAATGCTGCTTAACAAAACAACTGTCTTTCGCAGTTCTTTTCATACAGAAACCCTTGATTCCATGAGTATAGATCCAACGACATGTATGTATGCATATGATAAAGAAGTATAAACTAATTAGGGTTAAAATGAAGATGAATAATTTTGGGGTACAACACTTAATACCTAAGTAAATGCAGTTGTGGGACCTAGAATCTACTTAGTTCTATGGATATTATGACTACAAGCATACACTAAACAACCAAAGGTTTTAATATTGAAATAGTTAGGAACAACATTAAAAATAAATGTAAAAGGACATTTATAAGCAAGTAACTTAGAAGTTTATTTTGTTAATAATATGATATGCATAAGATAAAGCATATGACCAAGAAAGTTTGGGGAGGTTAAATTGAAAGAGAAGTGCATGAGTAACACCTAGAAGGTGTTAGTGCTTCCTTACAACTAAGCCATTTTATTGGGGGTATAAACACATGAGATTTGATGATGGATGCCTTGAGTTAATTAAAAATATTTTAAAAGAAACTCTGGCCCATTATCAGGCATTATGGTTTTAATAGCAACCTGAAATTGGGTTTGTATAAGTTTAACAAAAGCTTTTACAAGGGAAGAAGTTTCAGATTTAGTTTTCATCAGAGAAATCCAGCAATAACGACTAAAATCATCAACCACAGTCAGAAAATATTTATGACCAATAATAGAGAGGTATGAAATAGGTCTCCAAATATCCATGGGAATAATTTCAAAACAAGTAGAAGTTTTAGTTTTGCTATCATGAAAGGGCAAACTTTTTTTCTTAGCATTAGGACAAGTATCACAAGAATCCGTAGATTTTTGTAATTTGTTAAAGGGAAATCTTTATTAATATCAATTAGAGTTTCATAAGAGGGGTGGCCTAACCTATTGTGCCAAAGGATAATATTATTAATAGTAAGAGAGGGAAAAATAATAAGGGAGATAGATGGGGATATGAGAGTGTAAAGCCCTTGGTGTAATCTAGTTGCACAAATCTTCATCAGGGTATGGATCCCATGTATGAAATAATGAGAGGCAGTAAGGATAAAAGCACAATTTAAAGAGCATGACAACTTAGAAATAGATATCAAATTAGTATAAAAGGATGGAATGTATAAAACATCATGGAGGTGAAAGTTATAATTGAAGTGAATGGTGCCAGAATAATTAGTTGTGATGGAGGGTCCATTAGGAAGCCTTACAATAATGGGTTTAATGGGGTTGATGCTAGTGAAGATGGATTTAGAGTGGAATACATGATAAGTTGCCCCCGCATCTAACAACCATTTCGAAACTATCAATAGCATTAAGATTGTTTTGGGAATGAGTACCTGATGTGTGAGTGGAAGTAAAGTGAAGTTGTTAAAGATTTGGTTCATAAGAAATAACAGTTTGTTGAATAAGGGCTAGTAAGGCACGTTGTTTCTCAGTGGTGAAGCCAACATTGTCTTGCAATTCTTCGATTTGGCCAGAGGGAGAATTGTCAAGTTCTTAATCATAAGTAGCAGTTTGAGCCATGTTATCCTTTTTATGATATGGTGGAAGCCCATGTTTTTTGAAGCATACCTCAATGGTATGACCTGGTTTGTTGCAATAGGTGCATATCTTGAGGCCGTTAGATTTGGAAGGATATGTAGGTTTGTTTCCAGAATCGGTAGGAATACCTTTCATGTAAGGGTTATGAACTTGAGTAATGATCTTGTCTTCAAGGATGGGTGTAGAGATTTTTCTCTCTTGTTGAATCAGAAGCAAAAAAACTTTTGTGACAGTGGGAAAAGAGGTCATTAGCATAATTTGTGCCCTAATTGGTGCATATTGGTCATTGAGACCCTTCAAGAAGCGTATAACATAATCATTATCTTTGTATGTTTTGATGGTTGGAATCATTTGACAATGACAAACAAGATCACAATTACAGCTGGGAAAGGGCCTGAAGTTGTTAAATTCTTGCCATAGTTTCTTCAAGGTTGTAAAATGTTTTGTGATGCTTTGATCTCTTTTTTTCTGAGCATAAATTTCCTCTTGGAGATATGAGATTCTGAATATATCTCCCTGAGGATAACACTTATAAAGTTCATCACAAATATCATGAGTTGAATCCATCCAAAGAACACTTTTAGAGATTTCTTTCTTAATAGAACAGGTGATCCATGCCATAACCATATTGTGCAACAGCTCTAAAGAATGTAATTAGGGTTAGAAGAATCGGGAAGAATAAGATTCCATCGATGAACCCTAATTTATTTTTTAACATGAGGGATAATTTCAAGGAACGAGACCAAGAATCGAAATTTTGTATTGTTTAGAGATGGCAAAATGATCGCTAAACTAGGATTGTCACTGGGATGCATGTAAAACGGATCAGGCATGTCTTGTTGATAGGTGCGATTGATGGAGCGTTGATTGGTGTTTTTGTTGGTAGATGAGGAGTTTTTTTTTGTTTTGGTGAGTTTTTTTTGTGGAAGAAGGAATGTCTTCAGTTTCAGCCATGGCGAATGGAAGAACGATGAAGAAAAAGGAACGGATCAACATGAATGAAGAATCGTGTTGATCGAAGAAGATAAAGAAAGTAAGAAAAATGGGTTCAAAAAAATCGATCAATGAGAAGAACACATAGGAAACACCAAGATATGTGTGTGGTGAAGATGAAAGAGAATAGATAGAAGAGAGAGAAAGAACTAATGAAAAAAGAAGTTGGAAGCGGTGTTTTGCTTGGAGAGAAGGTTTATCGTAATCTCCAGATGTGGAATGAGATGCAGACACGTAGATGAATAAGATAAAGAGGATACAAGGAAATCTGGATTGACCTAAAAGAAAGAAAATAAAGTAGAGAAAATGGATGAAGAAGAAAGATATCATAACAATCTCTGAACTCCTAATACCCTATTGACATATGTCAACAAAAGTGATTAAGATTGAAACATTGAATATTATTATTATTATTAAATCAGTAAAAGTTAAGATTACATCACAACATACAAAACCATTAAATAGACTAATTAGTTAGGGGGAAAAATATAGAATATCGTAACTAATTAAGTGGACTGAAAAATATTGAACCTTTGTATTTTGACAGTTTGTTTATTGAATACTCTTTTCTAAAAATAATAAAGCAATATAATATTAAAGATATTAAAAGACACATAGTTTTTCTTTTTAAGTAGCAAACCCTTTGAATCTAAGGAATATGTCTTCTTATTATTGGAAGAGAAGAAGCAAACTAAGAAGCATCTAGGTAAAATAAAATAAAAAGGCATTCATCCATTCAAGCCTTAAATCCCTAAATGAAAATATTTCATAAACACCCTATTTTATCCATACACCCATCAAACACAAACTTTGTCTCATTCAAAATAAAAGTAAAACAACTACTCCCTCATCTAAAAAATCATATAAAAAGGTGTTAACTAAACTTATAAAAAACAAGGAAAATTTTTTTGACACAAAATGCAACATGAACACCGTATATAAACACGGTTTTACTTTGGATATATTATTATTTCATTTCTTTTCTTGAAGGAAGACAAAGACAAATTAGTAAGTATAGTATTTTGTACGATGTTTGATATATGTCTAAAACACATCCTCAAAAGAATAAAAAGTGTACATATTTCAATACACCCAAACCCTAGAGATCATTCAAAAATGTAAGAATATAGATGAAGAGGTTGATAATGTCACCATAGATAGAAATGGCAGCCCAAATGTAATCATCATAGGAGTATCTTTTAATAAGGTCACAAGTATCATAGACAATGAAACCACACATTAATAATGCTCCCAAACCAGAATATACCATACGTCCAATTGGTCCAAGAGGGAAAAACATCTGTTCAATATTAAAAACAATCACATTTGGATTAAATTTTCAACTAGTAAATAAAAAAGTTATTAAAATAAATTATTAAATTAATTAATAATATTTACCTGAATAAGTCCAAACGTTAACAATACCATAAGTGAAGCAAAGAGAAATGGACCAAGAAAACTAAAATCTTTGCCTCTTTTAACTCCCCAAAATGTGTAAAGTGTTAAACAAAGAACCACCACACCAGTTAGAAGTGCTGCCTCTAAGACAATCATTGCTGCACATTAAATATAAAAAACACATATTTTCACACTAGATTTATTTATCGAAAAAAACAATTTCTAAATAATATTATATAAAAAATAAAAGAGAAACGAATAATAAAATCATATACCTTTGGATAAAGCACAAACGAATCCAACACTTACAGACATGCAAAGAGTATAGAGACCAAGAAGAATTAGATTCACCGGATGTTTATTATAATATTTGCTCAATGCAAACAAAACTGCATAAAACGTGACGTTAAATTTATTAAATAAACCAATTAAAGTCTATATATAAATTAAAAGAACTAGGGTTTATATATTTTACCTATGATGGTGAAGATGACCGCAACAATCAAGACAATGAGACGAAGTTGATTGTAACGAACGAATTCCCTCGCGGGAGGAAAAAACACGAACAAGGAAGCAAAAGCAGCTGTGCAAAGAAGCTGAATTGAAACAATGGTATAGACTTTACGGATGAAACCCCACCGGAGCTCGGGCGACTCTATCATCGACGGATACAGGCCGCCATGGTGGATCCCCGCCTCAATGTCACCCTTACCCATGATGGTGATAGAATTTACCAGCCAAAATCCTCAATGACAAAAGAAAATGATGAATTAGAGAAACCTTAAACACAAATAACACAAACAATATGATGAATTAGATGTTATGTTTTATATTTTGATGGCTTAAATTAGTTGTTTTTTTAGTTGTTGCAAAATTTGCAACTCTTGTCTTGGTGTTTGTTTTAAACCAATAGAATCTGGTTTTGTAACATTGCATATATAGAAATAGTTTTGTTTAATTTTGGTGTGTGTAATTGTTGTTTTTGATTTATAGGTCTTTCTCTAGCTGTCTTTAAATACCACAGTTAATGTCTAAAAATATAGTGTTTGCTCAAATTTACATCTCTTTTAAACATATGACCCCTACCATTTACCTTATATATACATAGTATAAATAATATAGTAATTTTTTATAACAAGAATCGAACTATATACTTTAAAATTTAGAATACTCACACACACTTCATTTTAATTAAGGGACTTTAACAAATTGACATAACTCTTTTAAACATATGACCCCTACCAATGTCAATAAGAGGAAGGCTAGTGAGAGTGAGTTGAGGCAACAGATCGAGCTCCTACAATAGAAAGATCGAAAGGAAAACAAGATGACATGCATGGTAATTTGTTGGATCTTAATTAAGGGACTTTAACAAATGGTGGCTTCCAAGGCCAATATGGGAAGTGAGATAAATTCAAATTAGGGATGAACTAAGACAAGTTGGAAAATTCTCGGACACGAGTAAAGGAATATGTGTTAAAGAATGTGCTTAGGAAAAACATAGATCTAGTTTCATGGTTTTCCAATGACATGCATGGGATAAATCAAAATTTCATATGCCATCATCTCATTGCTCTCCTATAAATATTATTATAAATAATTTTTTTTTTATATATTTGATTATCAATATTGATAATCAAATATATTAAAAAACGTAAAAATTACTTATAATAATGTCCGAAAAATATAGAAAATTAAAGATGATCATGGAAAAAGCAAAATAAAATAGAGGAAGAGATTCAAAAGTTGATAAAAGGAAAATATATCATAGAATTGAAATATCCATAAGAAATTTAAAGGGATGGTAAACAAGGCCTATGGTCTATGGAAAATGGAGAATATGTGTAGGTCATAATGACTTAAAAGAATATTTGTCTTAAGAAAACCTAACCATTTCATATGCTAAATGATTTTGCGGACAATGCATCATGTTATGTCCTTTCATAGATGCCTATTCAGAATAAGAGCATGATACAATGTAGGGGCGTGCAAATAAATCAGTTCGACTGAACCATTTAAAAAAAAATAGGTGTACCAATTTTAAAAGTCTAGATTATTTGGCATCAAAACTGGCCCAGATATGTTTTAGTAAAACCTAAAAAATTTGGTATTCACTTTAAAAAATCAATTTCAAATCCGGTATCCATTTTAAAAACAAAGTTGTAAACCTAATGTATTAATTGATAACCGTCACTTCCTTCATCATTTGAGAGTTTCTCTTCTCTTATTCTACTTCTTCGATTCATTTTTTTCAAGATCTACATCATTCACTACATCAGATTCTCGTGTTTCCACTAATTCCTCCAACCTGTTCTCCAATCGTCTTGATTTCATTCTGATAGAGTCTCCTCTTAAAGCCACAATCCAGTGAGGTTTTCGTCGTCTTTTCATGACTCTGGTGTCGAAAAATACACAAAGATTTTTTATAGCTCCGGTGCCGGAAAATACCCAGAGGACGAAAATGGAAAGGTAAGTTTTTCGGTAAAATTTTGCTTCCAAAAGGTCTCAAGGCAATGGAATATACCTATACATGTCCTCGGGAGTTTCAAAGAAATATAGATAAGCCTAGAAATAAATAAAAAAGAGTTTGGATAGTTGAATGTGATAAAAAAATTAAAAGAAAAATTTCTGTATGAAAAATCATGATTTACTCATTACCACTTGAACCAATTTTAATTTTTTTTTCTCTTTTATGTATCTTTTTTTAAATATATGATCTTTCATTTTTGTTTTCCTACTGTTGATTTTTTTTTGTTTTAATAATAACCTATACTGTTAAATAAATTAGAAGAAAAGAGAGTTTGGCTTAACTTTTTAATTTGTTATTTAATATAATTGACTTAGATTTTTAAATTACTAAATCAAACTTACTCCCAGCAAATCAATATATAAATAAGTGTTTCAAATACTAAATTGAAAACTGGTTTGAAAAAAATCTAATTTTGTACCGGTTTAAATGAAAAACTAGTTTTAAACCAAACCGAACTAAATATAAACTGGTTTTGTGAAAATAAACTGGTTTTATGAAACAGTTTTAAAAATCAAACCTAAATCATATATTTGGACCAATTTGGGTTGGTTTAAGAACCATGCACACCCCTACCCATATGACAACGAAAATACCACCTTTATGATAGCCACAACTAATGTTTGCTACAAAGTTATGCTTTTTGGCTTAAAGAATGTTGAAGCTACTTATCTATGGTTAGCAATAAAGTCTTTGATATTAAAGATACCTAAAACAATTAAGGTATTTGATGACAGATGATTTGTTTTACTTTTAAGTGCTTTTGATTTTAATTCATTTATGTTTTTGTAAGATTTAATAAAGATTATGCGGAAGTGTGGAAAAGATAAATTTGTGTCCAAATCATCTCAACCATAAATATTATATGGTAACTTATCACAAGAGTTATGCCGATGAGGGAGAGAGGTTGCACTTCTGGTTAAACACTCATGTTCCTCTTCCGGTTACACAATATGGAGACTTACTTGGCCTCCAAACTCTCTAGGAAAACCTTGGTATGCAAGGTGCCCTACTACGAAAAACTCATTTAATAACGGTTGAAAAATACATATAATCATGCGGGCCCATGTGTTTTGTGTAGAGTGTGATTGTATATGTTGCACTTATAATCACGAGTCTAGAAACTGTTGTAGTAAAATGTATATCACAATGGTTGACGTAAACAACCATTGTAATAATTATAGTGGCATGAGTTTGATACCCAGCTACAACCAAAATTAAAGCGCATAAAAATAATATTTCACCACGGATAAACGTTCTAACCGTTGTGGTATATGTAGGAGTTTATTATAAAATATGGGACTGCTTGTTTTTCTCTGCCCCCATTAACCATATGCAACCATTCAAATAGATTTTTGAGACAATAATCAGAAAAATTAAGTTATTCTTGAAAAACAACTTAAAAGATCCAATTTTTTTCGAATTGCAAGCATCCTGTAAATCATGATTTCCTCTTTTAGCCTATAGGATTTTATTCAATCCCAAATTCTTCAAAGTAATGTTGATAAATAGATGTCAGTCTGAGTCTTTTCACATAAAATTTGATTTCCTCTTCTTTTCTATTTTATTTTTCAAACATCAAGATTTGTGTGAAGATCCAGACTAGCATCCATTTATCAACATTGTTTTGAAAATTTTGTGACATTGAATGAAATTATATATGCTAAAAAGGGAATTATTATTTACAAGATGCATGAAATTCGAAAAACATTGGATCGTCTAAGTTGATTTTCAAGAATAACTTAATTTTTTAAATTATTATCTTAAAAATCTTTTTAAATGAGTGCAAGTTCAATGAGGGGTTAGTCAAACAAGCAATCACATATGATATAACAAACTCACTATCAATATTTATCAACAAAAACATTGAATTAATTTATATAGATCGGGAGAACTTAATAACTTACCATTTCTTGAAGCTTTAAGTGATAAGTAAAGAACCATAACCATTTGCTAGCTGCACATGAAAAATCATTTATCAACTCATACTATACGCTTACTACCACCATATGAGGTTCATCTAGTTTGTGAAGCCATGAAAAAAAATATAAGGTGGATGAAGTTAACACAATAGCTTCATACTTCTTATACTTCTTTTCATAGCTTCTAAAGCTAGATGAAGTTTGCTATTGTTGTTGTTTCTTCATTCACTTCTCTTGAGTCCTACAAATACCATGAAAATTATCAACATGTGAAATCACAAACTTATTTGTCAACAACACAACATGCAACAACAACATGCAACAACAACATACAACAATAAAAGAGCCATAAACTATCTAACAAGAACAAATTCATAAGAAAACCAAGTGAAACATAACAACAACATACATGAAAATGAGAGAATAAGGAAAAGGAAGAATACATTTATATAAGAAGAACACGGTTGACAACTATAATGTAGAATATGAATGTTAATGAAGAAGAAGAAGAGAAAATGGGTTTTATGGTTTTGTTGTGATAGATACGATGTTAATGTAAAAGTGTGAGAGTTAATTCGCTTATATACAAATATACTCACAACGATTGAAGTTTTCACCCATAGTCGTAACCCTTTATTTTATATATAAAAATAAATAAAATAGAAAAGACGCGCCTTAACGTTAAATGAATAATATATTTGAGGGCACCAAGTTTCGAACCCAAAAAAGCCTGGATTCTATAACTACGGTTATGGATGCAACCATTATTATATGTTAACAATTTTTAATAAAAAAATAAAATAAAATGTTAGTGTCGTGGGTTTAGAGATGTCACCACGGTGTTGAAATAACTGTCGTGAATTGGGCGTTGTTGTTTGTATGTTTTGTAGTAGTGGTGCTAACAAATTGTTGAACAACATATTTAACATCGTCCACAGTAAAATTCACACACCATTGAAGTAAAGCTTCAGTTCCTGGAAGAAAACCATCATACTACTACCTCCCAGAAAAATATAGTTTAAGAAGTTGCTTCAAGGAAGACTCGTGTTGCCATCCTAGAGCCCACTAGGACAAAAAGAGACGAGGATACTCAGTCGAAGGACCGACGCAAAAGCAAGAAGCATTAGACCCCTCCCCATATCCCCGATAGAGACTAGGGATATCATGCTCCTTCCTCAGATTAGGCAGAAGCTCATCCGAGAAAGGTGCAACTGAAACTCTCACTGTGAGTAAGAATACTAGAGAGCAAGCTCATAAAATATATGGA